CTGTAGAAAAAAGTCCCTGAATATACACAGCAATTCGTTACTGCTTGGTTGCAGGAGCTTCTCATATACGCTTCCACAATATGAGGTTCAGTCTATTGATAACATTATGTACAACACAGAGATCCCATTCTCAGTACCCCAAACACCGGAAATATTCCGTCCACTGCAGAGCTCTTGGGGACGAGCACCTCCATGCGCGCATGAATAATGAATAGCAGCGGGGCTTGACCCTGGCGCAGGACGCTACGACAGGCTTAGCGATGTATCCAGTCTGTCGAATTGTCGTCGAACGCTTCACTGTACGGATTCCTTTCCATCCATTCCCCTGCAGCAGTCACGATACCGTATTTGGAGTAAAACTCAGTCAAATTTTTATTTAACGCTATAGGAATTAGTCAATAGATGAGGACGTTGTCGAAGGTGTTCGTACCGTTCACAGACATAGGGTATGAGGGCTGAAGGGAAAATCGAGAACCCCGTTCACGCAAGAGTGTCAAAGCATCGGGAATACAAGTCCCTAGGAGTGATGTTAGATTTATTCTTGCTCTTACCGAACATCAGGTGTCTTGCCTTTTGGTATACATAAGTAGTGTAGATCAGCGGAGTGTTGGCCACCTTCCGCGGCGTCCATATGGTAGTCGTAGGACATCCGACTTAATTCTTGCATGAAGTGTGTATTTGGCATGAAGAGGGCTCCATTCGAAACTGACAATTTTGAGCAATGAACGGCAATAATTGCAAACATGCCATACCTGTATTGGTAATTCCTGGATAAACCATTCCATCATCTGCGATCTCCAGAGCGTCCTCAACTTCTGCATCATATGCCTGCAGCCTCTTATCGTAGAGTCCGGATTCGCGTTGGAGTTGGAATCGATATAATGTCGCTGGAAAGATAGAGTGAATAGATACAATTGAAAGACGGCGACGAATTGCAGGAGCACAACTTAATGCAGCAAGGCTGCCAATCATAGTAGCACGACTGATGCTCTTGAAAATTGACATATTTATCAAAATAGACAGTTATCCCCTCGTGGGTAGGTTTTTGCAAAATTAGCGTGGTTTCATTAGTGTATATTATACGAGATCCCATTGAATAATCAGTGTATTTTTGAGTATTTGTTGGTATTAGTGTAATATATAAACCCTAATTAAGGATCCGCGCCAATATATCTATATTAGGATATATTATGAAATTCCGCCCAACATCGAGTTTTCAAACATAAGGGGGTATTTTGACATCCTGAACAACCAGAATTTGATCTCCCTGCCTGTTTACCTTCCTGCTGGCCAATCTTTCGTTTATACTGACACCAGGCACAAACACGCTGTTTTGAAAGAGGAATTCGTTGATGATTTAGATCAGGATTTGATCGTTCGATAGGAAGATTATCATGAATCTTAGGTGCAAATTCAAAGAGCTGTTGATAAAGCTTCTCATGAAAGCTTATATGAGAAGGAAGATCCTTTGCCGGAATCCCTTGCTGCTTCATATATCCCCTCGTGGGTAGGTTTTTGCAAAATTAGCGTGGTTTCAATTAGTGTATGGAATTCTGCACCGGCGCCCTGGGCATAACCAATAGAATCCCATATAATTTTATATGAATGATAATTGGTCATTCAGGTCTACTGATGAACAATCCCATGTAGATCTCAACAACGCGTTGAGAATCCAACGCGTTTGAACCCCCTATCCGCGAATATAAAGAACCCCTACTCAGGAATATATGGAACACCCCCCCCCACCCCCCCCTCGCGAATATGGAACCCCCTCAACCTGCGAACGTGGAATCCACTGAGAAACCTACTAAATCCAATGGTAATTTTGTTATATTAATCAATTCAAATGACCTAGCTAACTAATTTATTCTCTAGTTCATACAAAAATGTCAAGAAAACGAAAACGGCCTATTGAAGAGGTTATTGCAGAACTTCCACCTCTAGAATCAGTGAAATTCCATCCAATACTGCCTGCCTCACGAGATCCAATTCTTAATATTCCAGCGAATATCAATATTAGCAGTCATTATGCTTTATTTACTCTATTCTTCTCTGAGGAAAGCCTTCAAAATATCAGTGATTCTACTAATCTCTATGCAAAACTAAAGAAAGATGCTAGAGATACTGATGATGAAGCTCCAGAGCTTTCAGAAATAGAGGAGGATGAGGAAGCTCAAGATATAGAGATTTCTGAAATTTCTATATCCTCAAAGCCTTCTATTCAACAATATTCATGGAAAAATACCAATCCAGCGGAGATAAAGGTCTTTATAGGCATTCTTCTCTATATGGGGGTTCATAAATCCCATCGAACTGATCTATACTGGCGGAATGATCTGAAACAGGGCCCTATTCATTCTGTTCAATCCTATATGACCCATACGCGTTTTAAACAGCTTAAACGATATATCCATATATCTAACCCCCGTGAAGCCCGCCGCCCGGGGGCCAAAAATAGGGATGATTGGTGGTATAAGGTAGAGCCGTTGGCTACTGAGTTCCATATGGCATGCCGAAAATACTACACCCCTGGCTCCAAGATTTCTATTGATGAGATTATGGTTAAATGCTTTGGACGGAGTCAACATACATACAAGATGCCTAATAAACCAATTCCTCGGGGATATAAGATATTTGGCCTAGCAGAACATGGCTATTTATGGACTTTTTTCTGGTCTAGCCGCCGGCAGGGTATAATGCCTATGTTTCAATTCCCTACATTAACAAAAACCGGATCTATGGTGGTGAATCTGGTGAACCGGCTTCCTACGGTATCCACGCCGAATACGCCGAATGCCACGCCGAATGCCACGCCGGATGCCACCCCTAATACCGACCCTAATATCACCCCTAATATCACCCCTAATATCGGCCCTAATATCAACCCGAATACCACGCCGAATATCAACCCCCCGAATGCCACGCCGAATGCCACCCCTAATCAAATCTCTATCGCACAGCCGGTCACATCCTATTCAATTTATATGGATAACTACTTTACATCAGTTCCTCTATTCAAAGAACTACGTCAACAGGGGTATGGAGCATGTGGAACCACTCGTCCAAACCAGGTTCCAGCAGTACTAGGCGAGCTTCGAGAGCATTCAAATTCCATACCCTGGAATACCCTGCATGCCATTGAAAAAGAGAATGTTCTCTGTCTTGCCTGGCAAGATAATAATATGGTATTGGCACTAACTACGATTCATTCATTGGACGCAGTTATTGAACGTACTCGTAAATGCCCAGGGGAACTCTCAACCAATGCCAATATTGTTAGAAAAGTCTTTGAAGGTCAACCACAAAAGAAGCTGAAAATCCCATTGATTATAGATGATTATAATCATAATATGAATGGGGTAGACCTAGCAAATCAATACCGGGCAGCATATACTAGCCATAGAGTCACCTATCGAACCTGGCTTCCTATTCTCTACTGGCTTATCGATTCCGCGGCTGTCAATGCATACCGGCTTCAATATATAGCCGCCTAATGTGAAAATTTTGAAAATGGAAGCGCTCATTTTTGGTCAATTTCATCACATGATTGCGCTAACCAAGTCGGTAATAAAACGTGTCTACCTCAACTAGTCTTACCATCGAATGCAAAGCCTACGCGGTACTGACAGACAATTGAAGTTTTCACCAAGAACAGTCCAACCGATAAAAGTTTAATTTGCAGACGTAGATACACAACTAAAGGCCACGAAAACAGAAAAGGAAAAGGAAAGGAAAAGGTTTTGGCCCCTAAGCTACTGGCTCTCTGTCGGCTGGGGATATCGCTGCAGCCATTGTTCTTTGGTCAAACATTCTCCTTCCGTCTCCAGGAAGGTTGTGATCTTGGTATTCAACTCTGCAAAACGGTGAGCGACTTCGCTACGCATTCAAGTGGAGAATTTCCTTACCCTCGACGGACATTTCCTTTTTTGCCTGCAGCCGAATAATGATCACCGAACTCGTGGATGAGGATAAGGTCGTCTGGAAGTTGGGTTCCTAGTTTTTTTAAGAGCTTGCTCTATGGATGATATAGTAGCTGACGAACCTGCAGGGACCGAGTAGATGCACACCGATGCACCCCGGAAGGTTTTGACAAGGTCATGCTGTTTTGATGTGTTAGGGCGCAGCGAGGCTCAGTTTGGGGCTATGAAATTGTATTTAGCACTACACATGAATACCGTTGATTATTAGTTCTCACCCTCATATGAAGCTGGAGCGAGCGCTTTGGGTTTGACTTTGCCTGCCTCGGTTAACAGATCAAAGCTCCCTTGCGGCCTCAGAGGCCCTGGGCGAGCCCGAAGACGGATGGCAGCTCCATTGTTCAAACGGAACAACTCCTTTGGAATCGAGGTGAAGGACTGGATGTATCTTGACATGCTGGAATGAATGATGAAAATATACAGAAATACAGTTGATATTTGTTGCGATAATCCGTAGATCGACGTGCGAGTAAAACTGATGAATCGAGATGGGGTTTCGAGTTTCCTTTTAACTAACGTAGTTTACCAGTTACTTGATCACACCACATTCTTGATCACTAGTGCACGTGATATAAAAGTTTATTGCCCTGAACTATATACTGGCTTGCTTGGCTTCGCCGTCCGATGTACGACTACTAGTCCTAGACACCAACGTAGAGGTGCAAGCCTTGCCTAGGTGTCGTACACAGGCTCCGTACGACTGGAGGAATAGAAATCATACATACCTAGCCCCACTGAGAGACGAAAGCAAGAGAAGAAAAGAAACATCATGCGTACCTATTCTATCAAGATGGCAAAAGAAGGTGTAGAGCCATCTGTGATGGTCCTCAGGTGTCGCCTACCGCTGCCACTCTCATCATCTGTATCAGGTATCTCTATCACCTCCACCACATCCTCACCATCTCGTACAGAGCAGCGGCTGGCGTGATCACGCCATTTGCAGTTGCCACATGCTCCTCCAAAGTGCCCTGGTAAGCGGCGGCACTGAGGGAACGGACGGAGACCTGGATTGCCACAGCAAGCAAAGCAGGCCTGCACCTCTGGCCGCCCCCTTGACTGGATGAGGATGGCATTTATGTACGAAGGCCGGTGGCTCAGGACCTGATATTCTGTCATACTGCCGCGTACGAAGAGAACATCCTGCCCTTGAAGGGCCAGAACCACTCTAGCCTGTGGACTATGAGCAAAGGGCGAGAGTTGCTGACCAGCAACAAAGAGGGTACGGTAGGAGCCCTGAGGGCCAGAGAGATCACCAACAAACGAAAGCGCCCTATATATCGTACGATACCAATTAGTATGCAGCCTCCTTGATGGAATCGACTTACCGAAGCTTCGTACGAAGCATATACTCACATGGATGATGAAATGTGGTGCTGGAGAGAGAAAGACAGAGAGTAGAAGACTTTGAGGAGGTGAATATTGTGGGATTCTCTCAACAGGCAAGTCAGGGCTA